GAGAGAGAGAGAGAGAGAGAGAGAGAGAGAGAGAGAGAGAGAGAGAGAGAATGGGATGAAACGTAACACCCAGCAGGAGTCAGCCAGCCCCTCCCCCCAGCTGAGTGTCAACTCCACTTTTTCCCCTTCCCTGTTCACGCGGTCTCACGTTTATTCCTTGTTAACCCCTGCAATGCTGGGCAGCCCCCTGGGCGCGGTCCTCGGAGAACCCCAGCCTTGGTGCCAGGGCCAGGGGCCAGATCACATCATAGTAGGAAGCTCCTGCACCGGTCTCGGAGGTAGTGTTCAAGCCCTTGCAAAGATCCGATGGTGTAAGAAGAGAGGTCTTTGGAGAATGTTCCAGGGCTTTTAAAATAGTAAAGTGCAAGAGGAAGGCAGGAAAGGTCTCTAAGATCATACTCTCTAATAGAGGACCACTGACCACCGATGTCATCAAGGCCTCAGGTACTGCTGTCTCAGGGGCAGAGAAATACATCCCAGCCCAGTGGAAGTTACCAGCAGTGAGGCCGCAGGCAACTAGATTCACTCCAAAGGGAGAGGTCTTTCCTCCGAAGGGAATCTGGTCTTTTGCTGGGCAATAGTATGCTGCCAGTTGACTTAGAGACTTAAGACAGTTAGCAGCACCCTTTCCCCGCCCCCCAGCTCCAAGTATCCAAGTACAATTGTAAAGGAGGTTAATTTATTTTATCCCATATCAACGCGTCTCCCAAGAGAGGCAGGGATGGCACTGTGGATCTCAGGACCACGTGATTCAACATTTGTATCCAGTCTTATAGCTCAGGTCTAGAGTGGATTCCAAATCCTGTTCTCTAAGTACAGCTCGGACTCCACCACTTTATGCCCTTTCTTAGAGTCTGAGCATGGAGGACCTATTGGGATTCCCAGAATCAGGCCTTAGAACCCTTAGCCATCCCACCTATTAGAATAGCCGCCCACCCCACTTTTGCTTGCATCGGGGATAGCAGCTTCTTTTAGCCCATCAGTTCCTTTCTGTAGCTATTAAAGATCAACAGGCAGCAGGCTCCTGCAGTGATAAAACTACTTTGGAGATCATAAAATCCAGAGAAACTTTGCCAGAGAAACAAAGAGGACTCTCTCTCTCCCTCCTTCCCTCCTCCCCCCAGCAACACAAAAGGGATGACTGCGAATTACATGGAAAGCTGAACTTCTCAAGTTAGCATGACGCAGAATCTCTTAGGTTGTTTTGGGGAGATACTTCCTAGAGGCAGGGGATGGACGGAATTCTCTCTCAATTCTTTCCCAAAAATGAGCAGAAGCCTTTGTCCTACAACAGTCAATAGTCTTAGAACAGCTTGACCTGATGATGAGTAATCCCATTTTGCTTCAGAGTGGTTGTGAACACTTCAATCACAAGTCTCTGTCTCTCTGAAACCCTTATTTGTCATTTCCCTGAGTATACCTCTTGATTTTTTTTCTTTCTTGAAATAGGGTCTTGCTATAAAATCTAGGCTAGTCTGGAAACATTGTGTTGCCCAGGCCATCTCGAACTTGCTATCTTCCTAATTTCTAGGTTGACAGGCCTGGATCACTACACCAGGCTTCAGACTCTGTCTTTTTTTTTAGTAGCTGTTAGGACTTCTGGGTTATCTCCCTTCTTTGTGAGTATCTTTGTAGATTCCTCAGTTCCCCCTTCCCCTCCTCCTGGATGTCTATAAATGGCTAGAAGGGAGAGCTTGAATCAGACCAGAGAACATCTTAAATGTTCCTGAAACCTCAGTTATGAAGGCTCTGAAAGTTGCTGCTGCTGTTTTTTTTTTTCTTTTTTAAAAAAGAAACACACCCAAGCACAACCTTTGTGAGTTCATTGAGGGAGAATCAGATAGTGGATTTCATCTTGCCTCATTTGAACAGCTTGAACTATAACCACAACCACACAAACAACTATTGGATGACAAGCTGTCCCTCAGTGCTATCCTCCTCCTTCCCCCGGAGAATGTGTCCTGCTGTAACTTTCTGGGAAACACCTGTCATTTGCAGTGTGACCACAAGGTGTCAGGCTTACCTTAGCTTTGCTTAGCCCTAGGCCTTTGATGCTCCAGAGAGAGGAGTGGTGGATTTTTAGCAAAAGCCCTTTATAACCCCCGTTTTCACTGTAGTTGATGTTGGTATAATTTAGGGAGGGGAAGGGAAAAAACAAATTATTTAAATAGGGATATAGATTGACCCATTGCAACAATGAGATGTGCAAGATGCTATGTTGAAAAACGAACTTCACAATTTAGCTGGGGGTGGGGTGGGGGTCGGGAGGATGCAGTTGTGGAGGTGGGAGGGAAGGGATGGTAGGGGAAAAACAAAGGAGGAGGCAACAAGGCTGGATAAGAAATGTACTCATTACCTTGCTCATGTAACTGCAACCCCTTTGTACAGTATTTTCACAATAAAAAACTGAATTAAAAAAATGAAACAGATGAAACCAGCATAAGCCTGTGGCTGGGGGTGAAGGTGGGGCTGTCATGCCTGTATCTTCGTTACGCAGGAGGCTGAGATTTGAAAATCATGGTTCAAAGCCAACCTTGGACAAAAATGTCTTTGAGACTTCTTACCTCCAATTAACCAGCAAAAAGGCAGAAGTGGAGCTGTAGCTTAAGCTGTACTCAAGCAAAAAAAGGCCCAAGATACCGAGTTCAAATCCCATAACTAGAGCCTGTGAGCACATGTGCATGTGCACAAAGAAAAGGAACCACCACCATGAGACACCATTATCATCAACATGCTAAGCAGTAAAAATTCCAAAGGGGCATCTTGACAATTCTGGATTTCCTATAATACTACCCTGTTTTCCCAAACATACAATTATTAGCAAGGAAATGGAAGACTATAGCCCATGGGGTAAATATACTGTATGATATCCATTTTTCTACAATTTACAAGCTGAGAATGTGTGTGTGCATGTGTGTGCACACACGCTATATATATATATATATATATATTTTTTTTTTTGGTTGGTCATGGGCTTGAACTCTGGGCCTGGGCGCTGGCCTTCAGTTCTTCAGCTCAAGGTGAGAGCCCTCCCTCTTGAGCCACAGTACAACTTCCAGTTTTCTGGTGGTTTATTGGAGATAAGAATCTCACAGACTTTCCTGCCCAGGCTGGCTTTGAACCACGTTCCTCAGAGCTCAGCCTTCTGAGTAGTTAGGATTATAGGTGTGAGCCACTGGCACCTGGCTAAATTTTTAAGTGGTAAATTAAAAGAAAGATTAGGATGGTTAGTGCTATTTCAAGACAGTAGAAAATGGTATGAAATTCAAATTTCAGTGTCCAGAAAGAAGTTTTACTGGCATGTGGCTGGGCATCCACAGACACATGGCTGCTTGTGGGGTGGAAGGGCGGGGCTGAGGGAACCTGAAGCAATGACTATCTGGTTCTTTTAAGAAAAAAATTACTTGGCTAAATATAAAGAAGCCTTAATTTGGATCCCTTAAGCTTGGCATATAGGATTGTTTATATGTTTATATTGTATATATTGTTTATATGTATATGTTCTTGTCAACTTATCAGTTTATGAATACAATGCTTCTTGATCAATGTCACCCCTTCCATCATTCTCCCATGTCTCTCCCAACCCCACACACCCCTCAAGTTACCTGGTTCCATTTTGACATCTGTGCATAGATATTATTAGAGTTCCCACCTTTCCTCTCTTGATTTATCTGCTCAGAGGGAGGAGGCTTAACCAAAGTCAAATGCACAAACTGCTAATTAAATAGAAAATTTCCCAGAGAATGTCCCATAAGGAATTTGCATTCTTTGAGCAGAACCAAGGATTAAGCCATGGTATTGCAGAACTAGAGCATACCATAGGAGTTTATTGGGCCAATCTCCTTCTTTGGAAGGAGGCTAACAAGTGACTTTCTTTCAGAGAAGATGGACTCTTCCTTAAGTCTCAAGAAGGAAGCCAGGCACTGATGGCTCATGCCTATAATCCTAGCTACTCGGGAGACTGAGATCTGAGGATCATGTTTTGAAGCCAAACTAGGCAGGAAAGTCCATGACACCCTTCTCTCCAATTAATTAGAAGAAAGCCAGAAATGGAGCTGTGGCTCTAGTGATAGGGCACTAGCCTTGAGCAAAAGAGCTTGGGGACAGTGTCCAGGCTCTGAGTTCAAGCCTCAGTGCGTGAGCGCGCGCACACACACACACACACACACACACACACACCAAAACCAAAACCACCACCACCACCACCACCAAACCAAAAATCTCAAGAAAGAAACACCTCCCCTTCCACTCCCTCCCCAGTCTTATGGCACTTAACTATAAACAGAATTCTTCCTTTTTAAACAAAGTCACCCTTTTGTGTCACAATTCATGGCTATTGTCTGTAATCTTAGTTGTGCAATGACCACAACTCTGCATTGTTTATAACAGAGAAAGGATCTCTTGGTCCTTATCTATCATATTACT